GCGATAATATATCTATATATATATATATATATAAGTCCGCAGAATGGTACAAAATATAATGAACATAATAATGTGCTAAATTGTATAAGAAATCGATATTAACGTAACAAGGCCATTTCAAAGGACAGGCGAGTTTAAAAAATCTAATTAATTTATGTAAATTCTAGATTTCTAGAAGCGAGAATTTTCAAATGTTCGCTTGCCATAAAAAGAGATATTTTATATCCGAGGAAGATGACTTTGGTCACTCGGTAACACTTCCGCGGTACTTTCTTAGGAAGTTTCTTCGCAAAGTTTCGCAACTACATCTCATCCAATTCGCATTGTAATGAGGCTGTTAGACTGGCCATCGTACTGTGTTAACTACTAATTCAACCTGACCGACTACGATCACTCTTGCAAAAAATATACCGCAATGTATGTGAAATTAATCGAGAAAATTAGAATTTCTAATTGTATGTTTTAAAACAGAATGTAACTTTAAATACATTTTCGATAATATTTTTCTTTTTAATTTCAAGCAACTTATGGCTTCACAAACTTTCGAAAAATATATTACTCTGTTGGAAAAAATAACAATTAAATTTTTGTGACAAAAATGACATTATTCAAAACAGCTAAATAAAAAGGAAACGACAAAAGAATAGGTTATAAAAGATGACTGTGCTGTGAGTTGTTTCTTGTATCAGAGGTAAATCGTAAGACATAACAATTTTCGAGAGATTCGAGGATTACATTTCAGCATTAAACCACATTACTTCGGTCACGCTTTGAGACAGTGTACACAGACAATTAAATAATAATCCCTTTGTTAGAAAGCATCCCTTTGCTAGAAAGCATGTTGATAAGATTGTACTTGAGAAATGAGCAAATAAAATGTTTATGCATCGCGGTTGTCAAAGAAAAGTGTCTTTTTGACTCTTGGCTCTTTTAAATCAAATGTAGAGTGCATTATTGTTAACACAAGTCAAATGTACTTATGAACTAAATAACTTATCCTTGCAACAAAATACATGTTGGAATTTTCCTATTATAAATACAAAATATAAATAATGCTCGTGCGGTTATATTCATTAATAAAATATCAGTTTGCAAAAGGTAATGTGAGAAAGTTGGTAGATTGATACGTTTACAGAATCAGTAGAAATACTTTCGAAAATCAATCGTAGCAATAAAATGAATCGAAAACCAATAACCGAAACAATTTTGTTACAAATTAATAAGCATTATCTGTAATGACTAAAGCACGTTTTACATAAACTAAGAGAGCTAAATATATTGTACAATAATACAATATAATTGTTCAAAGACCGTGGTTAGTAAACCATTTTTAGAATTTATATTCAAAGAAGAATTTTACGATATAATCTAATGCATAAAACATTTCGCAACATTTTAAATATTTATTTTCTACTATTTTGTACAGACTTCGATATTTTGGTAATTAAATATCGTTTAATCAAGTTTAATCAAAGAGTTTCTCGTCGCGAGAAAGTCTCTTAGTACGCCGACTATCACCTAATTATAGCAACGATGTGGTAACTTCGTTTTCACCTTTGAACATTAAGCGAATATAGAACGTTCCTTCTACGATCATGCCCTGGAGACTTTCAGTGTCGGTTTAAACTATACTCAATATCGTTTTAACTTCAAATTTGACAAACTTAAGGAAGAGAGTTTAGCATCGCATTAAACGATCAATCAAGAAAGCTGATAATTGAAAGAAATATTCCTGAAATATTTAAAACACTTATTTCTAATTAATAAGTAAATTTTTTCGAATTTATAGATGTGTCACATTCTAATAATGTTTCAGTATAGCTATATATGCGAGTGCTCTTGCGATATTTCACGTTGTAACTAATTTTTTAAACAAATCGACGTTCGTTTATACAAATGGTAATTCACAGGAATTTTTTTTCCGATGGGAAGTAATCGGTATAGTAGCGATAATGTTCATTGTTCGATATAAGCAGATCGATATTAACGATAATAGATGCATAAAAAATTTATATTATTGGATATAAGTGCTTGCAAAGGAGGCGATCAAGTGAATTCTCGTTACAAGAATTTTCCGATTATTGGATTTGACATATCACCAATTGCTTCGGATAAATAAAATTGTGTGGCTTTTTCCTTTAGATATGAGATATTTCTATATAAAAAAAACCAATCAATATTTATATGATTCGTATAAAATATCTACATATGTACAGCATATAAAAATTATAGAGAATTGGAATTACAATAATATGTATAGGATTTTTTCAAGATAAATGTTAACATTATTGCATTTTGAAAAAGATAGAAAAAATATTTTATGGTCTCATGTCAGAACAAC